TCAACTAAGAAATATCCCTATCTAAAACTAAAAGCATGAATTGATAGTCCACAGAAGAACTTATACAAATGGATAAGGAAAATATGAGAATAAATGTAATATGTATTATACAGCTGAAATCTGCTATAATAAAGAAGAAAAAAACCCTGAGATAAAGGGTTGAGAAAAAAAGTAAAGAAGAACTCATAGTGAGATGTTTTGGAGAGCTGAAGGACTTCCTGGCTACTCCAACACAGCTCTCTTGCCTCTCCTTTTCTTTATCAAAAGGAAAAGGAAATATTTTTTTCTTTTTCCTTCCTTTCTTTCTTTCTTTCTTTCTTTCTTTCTTTCTTTCTTTCTTTCTTTCTCTCTCTGGCTGACCTGGAACTCACCCTGTAGACCACGCTAGGCTCGAACTCAGAAACCTTCCTGCCTCTGCCCCCTGAGTGATCAAAGGTGTGTGCCACCCCACCCTACCCAACCACACCTGGGTTTCAAAAGGAAACCTTATTTATTAAGACTGAGGGTTTGGGAAGATTGTGCATGCCTTTAATCCCAGTGCAGTAGCTGATGAATCTGTATGAGTTGCAGGCCAGTCAGGGATACACAGAGGAGCTGCAAGGGGAAGAAAGAACTAGGGAGGGGGAAGACCAAAGTTCAGATAATATGACAGGGTACGTTCCCTAATGGTGACTGAGACAGGTAACTTACTTGAAAGTTGGAGTACTTCAACGCTTACTTCCTCTCTAGATTGTTTGTTTGTTTTTTAACACTGCATACAATGTAAACACTCTGTAAACGTGTTATACTATAGTGGTTAGGGGATAATGACAAGAAAAAAAAAGCCTCCTGTTAGAACAGATGCAATTTGAAAAGAAACAGACAAACCTTTCAGTGTGCAGTTGGTTGAATCTGGAGAGGTGGGAACTCAACCCAAAGGGCAGAATGTATTTATTTTAGTCAAACCTGAATGGGAACAAGGTATTCTACAGGGTGCCCACAGAAAGTACTGGGAGACTGCTCTTAAGGAAAAAGCCACTCTAAGCAGCCAGATGAGGAAAGGAAAGTGGCTCCAATTCAAAGAGATAGAGAACAGTCTCACGTGTACAAATACAACAAACAATGCTGGAGCTGCTAGCTGAGTGCCCATCCACAAAGGAGTGCCAAGAAACATGAAGATAAGGGGCTTTCAGAAGCAGAAAGCTACCCGGCTGGAGTTCCAGAAGTTGGTGATATTAGAGTTCATAAGACCACCATGCCCAAGGTTGCTGTGGGCCAAGGAGAAATCCTGCCAATTCTAGCTCTACATCTAAGATACATGGTTTCTACTGAGGCAGCCCTTCTGGCAGCAGGCTATAGCAGCAGCACTTAGCAAGTCCCATGTCCACAGAGGTGCACATAAATGAAATCATCAGGACCCAGCTGGAACACTGGCAAACTATCACGGTGAAACAGACCGTGAGATCCCTGGAGAGAATCCTGCCCCTTCTCCGCCCCCAAAAGAACTGTCAGGCCCAAACCAGCATGGAGCAGTGCAGCCTGCTGTACACATCATAACCCCTTTCCTTCAGGGACTGGACATGTCTCTGCAAAGAAAATGCCAAGCTCTGTTTAGCTGGGAAGCTAGCAAACTTGCACAGGACTGGTATAGCAAGGCACCAGTGGAGAAATAAGAAATGGGTAGGTAGGTAGTCCTCCTCAGCGAGCCCAGAGCAGAGCCCATGGGTGTGCACTGAGATGTAAGGACTGTTAAATAGCACAGGCTCATGGTTTTAACACTTAAAAGGAAGATTGAAAAGAAGATTGAAAATCCAAGACTTCAGTCTACATAGCAATCAAAACTCAATAATGTACTTGCTGAGCAAATTTAAGTACAGAAGAGACAACAGAAAGCATACACGATGAAGGTCAAGAAACGAAACTTAAGTACACAAGGAAGGGTTCTTCAAATGACAAGAGTACTGCATACTCACCCAAACTTATGGCAATAAATCTCAAGATACAGAATAAGTAGATAGCCTCCTAACAAATATAAATGACCAAAATTAAAGCCAAAAGATTTGAACAGATTGGTTTCCACAGAAGAAGACATTGCAAAGGTAGGATGGCTCCACCTAATGAAAAAAATACCAAGTCCAGATGTACTTTACAAGGGAGTTTCATCAGACCTTCAAAGGACACATAATTTCTAAGTGTAATTTTTAAAGTATTATGGGCCAAAGAAAAAGAAGAAATACTCTATACTATGTTACCCATCTTATCTTTAATCTTCAAATCTAATGGAAAAAACACAAAAGATTTCAGTCTCATGAATACTGAAGATACAGTCTAAACAAAGTACTGATGAACAGAATTCAGCTTTGTATCAAAATAATAACATACTGTGATTAGCAGGCTTACTTCAGTAAATTCAGAAATCCTATCAACATAATTCATTGCATTGACAAACGAGAGTATAGTTCAGTAGCACAGAACTTGACTAATGTGTTTCAGGAAAGAAAAGAAAAAAACTTAGAGCAAACTTTCAAACTCACACAGACACCATTAATATATAGTAACCACTCCTGTAAGCAAATGTGAAAACACAAAACTGAGAACTTAAAGCCAAATAAACAAATGCCAGTAGCAAGTGTAAAAGAACACAGAAAACATTTTGACCTTAAAAATCTTTAAGCTAACATGATTTCTATTTAGTTATCTGAATTTCTACAAAACGCAACAAAAACGTAAGTATTGAAAAGAGAGAAGAAAATGAAATTTACCAGAAATAATAGGAGAATCTGTGTAATAGCTGGACATAAGATAAATATTCATAAACATCAATAATTATTTTCCTTGATAGCAAACAGCACTTAGCAATGAAGATGAGAAAGGTATTTGAGCCCCAGCAGAAGAAAAGCTATTAATTCTTGAGAAATGCATCAAAAAGGAGCATAGAATAGATAAGAAGAAAATAATAGATCTAATTAACACAAAATCAGATGGGAACATGCAAAGAAATACAATTTCTTAGCTAAAAAGAACTACATAATTAAAAAGTTAAACACAAAGTAATGTGATTCTAATTAGAATCCTAGTAGAACTGGATGGGAATATTGAGTAAACGGAAACTTTGAAATGTATAAATAGGAAAAATTGACAAGGCAGTGAGTGCTAAATGAATTTTAAAGTAATGCAATCAAGTGAATATGCTCTTGGTATACAATCCAATGGAACAGAACAGAGAATCAATAACTTGAGCCTAGTACATAAAGCATTTAATAGCTGACAATGATGAATGTTCAGTTTCCAGGAAAAAGCAGGGAGTATGTAATATACTGTTCTAGTACAACTGGTTATCCATCTTTGGTAAAGCAACTTTACATAGAATTGGAAATGAGGAAGTTAGAAAAATATCATGCAAGACATTCACATAGACACACAAAAATTGAAAGCAACAATATGGAAGCTTAGTACACACGAATGGTTATCTCAGCATTATGGAAAAAGGAAATATTCATTAATATGGAAATGCCAAGATAAATTGTGTATTTATGAAATATTATTGCAGCCTTCTGAAATAAGACTGATACAGTAGACTTTGATAGATTTCCATGAGATGTTGTTGAGTGAAAAAAACAGGATATATTAAAGAATAAAAACAAACAATTAACAAAACTTCTAAAAGCCACATGAGCTTGTCCATGCACATGGAGAAAGATACGTACTGGTTTAGTATATGGAGAGATAGTATGAGTTAGGGGCCAAGCAAAAAGAAATTGCAAAGGACCACTATGAAATACTCCCGATTCTATATTTATGAATGAGTATAAAAATAAGTAAGTTAAATTTAATTGAGAAAATAAATAGTAAAATATTAGTAAACAATGTGATTTTACTTATCAAAAAAGAAAGGCAATAACTTGAAATTATCTCTTGGGGGTAGGAGGGAGATGGTGTGCATTTTTTTTTTGATGAAATTGTTGCTTTCATCCTAATGAAATAAAATCAATAAATGTTGCTTTAAAAACATTACACTTAATAATTGAGCTCATTTTGAAAAGGCAAGGGAGGGAAGTGAGGTTAAATAGCCCTTTTCTGTGGGAGCTGTCCATATAAAATATATAAAGTCAGGATCCATTACCCCTCACCCGGAAGAAAGTTACTCACCTTAGGCAAGAGACTAAGTGGCTATTCTGAGGAGCTGTTTGCAGCGGCAAATGGGGTAGTTTTCCCCCTACCTAACACTCTAATGACTTAAGTAAATCAGAAAGCCATTTACTCTACTCTCAACTATCCAAGCATCTGCTAGGCCTATTACTTCCTGTTCCCTCCCTCTGGCCATTTCACTATTCACAAACAGCTCCAACATTGGGATTGGGGGGGAAGAGAAAATTAATTCAGCCCATTTACCTTCTCACTAGCAACTCTAAAGGTCTGGTGAGGGAGATGATCACAACTGATGGCGAAAATGAGGGTTCTGGGACTTTGACTAATTTAAGTAAACTTGCCTTCAGAGAAACATGTCTGCTTGCAGTATATTTTAATGGAACTGATGTTTGCTGATATTTTAAAGGAAGTCAGGATTTACAGAGCTAAGGTTGTGGCTCAGTGGCAGAACATTGTTCAATTTCCAGAATCCCTGTCACTTCATTTTGCACCTGAAGGAAAAATGGCCATTAAGACACAGGCCTTCAATACCACATCATCAGTGAAGAGATCGTTAGGGGAGACTATGGAATAAAGCTAGGTGCCACCCCAGCAGCTCTCAAGAGTAGCCTCCATAGGACAACAAGCTGCCAAGCCACCCTGCTTTAGTTGTGTAATCCCAATGACTGGTTCAGTAGGATTTGCCAGAGCTCAAAAACAACTACAACCCACATACAACACGTACATGGACCCCTACAGATGTTCATTCCTTATGAAAGTCCAGAGAACCAAGCAGTACAATTCCAGGAGGTTGACACCACACTGTCCCCTATCATCAAGTGGAAAGAACCTGCAAAGGAAGGGCCATGGAGCAAAACACAATTTTCTCTTACTTGAAGATGACGATAGCTCCGGGACATGGAGGGCAGGCCAGGAGGAAGATCTGCAATTGAAAAATTAAGAATGGTTAGTGAGGAAAACACTGAGCATGGTGACTCGGTGTTACTTTAATAATAATAACATTTAAAAAAAAAACTTCCACACAAAAATGTAATATAAAAAGTTAGAAAAGTAAAATTTGTATGTTGTGTTGGTTAAAATTTGTCTAGTTACAAGGCAAATGGATAGTTTACCAGAATACATTTGTATTTTCGTGTGTGGGGGGGGGGGGGGGGGGGGGGGGGGATGGTTTTTCAGTGCTTTAACTTCAATATGCCATAAGTAGCCAGTCTTTGAAGCTTTAACCCAGGGCAGGTAAAAATAGATTGTGGCATGGAAGATGCGCACACATGCCATCAGGGTTGCCTCGCATGAGGGTAGGTGCACTTGTCAATACTCAGAACTGCCAAAGCTAGCACATGAAAATACAGGGCACCAAGTCCAATTGCGATCCCAGAGAAACAGTAACTAATGGCTTGTGTAAGTAGGCTGCAAGTGTTGCATTAAGCACATTTCTGTTATGCTTTGTGTTTATCTGAAAATTGGATGTACTTGGGGACCCCGAATTTTCCCACAACTCCAACAAACTGCCACCCTAGACTCTAAACCCCACTGGACTTTTTTTCCTGCAAATCAACCTAGGTAACTTCTTAAGGTCCTGTTATCATGACAGGCAAAAATGCAAACCAAAAGAATCTGTCATTCTAAGAGACCAATCAGCTGGCTGCTCTTGGGTGTGACAAAGGCCTGGACTACAGCCTCTGCAGACCTGCAGTAGTTTGGCCTTTACCCATATGGTGGTCTTCAACTGTCATCAAGGACAGAACATCCTTTGCAAAACTTACTAAATATGCAAATTTCTGGCTTCCCACACAAAGCATTCTGACTCTGCAAACCTGGAGCCCCATCACCACCACTTCTGCATGCTGAATAAAACTTCCAGTTGGAATGAGATCAGCCATTCCTGGTAGCCTCACATGCTATGTGTGTGCTCTTGGACCCTGAGAGTCAAAGAGACATGGGAATGAGGATTAACTAATGCCTAACCCTTATGTTTGCAGGGTTCCTTGACCTAAACTGATTTGGTTTTGCGGTTTTAAAAACTCATTGATAGCTGTCGCTGTCATGGTGAAAGCTCTGGTGATTTCCATTATGGACTTGTCCACTTTGCTGAGTGTGCGTGCTTTGGCATCTTGGTCCTCCATTCTCTGAGGACTCTATAGTGAGAAGAATAGTTGTACCACAGGGAAGACATCTGCCTGGCAGCTAGAATCCCTGCTAAGAGGAAAAGAAGGGAGTATGGAAAAGAGGAAGTGTCTCAGGAAGAATAGCAGCGGCAGTCCATCATCCATGATCAGGGAACCCATCCAAGGAAAGAGTCATCTAGCATCACCCATCCCCATGCTTTTCCCATGTGGGTCCATTTGATTGAAGTGCAAACTCAATGATAATTTCAGGTCCACAATCCTCTATTGGTAAACCCCAATTCCAAAAGGCTCTAAAACAGAAAACGTTCAAAGCATAACTTGAATGGAGGTAAATCTCACTTTATTTGTGGAGAATTTTCACGATTTCCCACAGAAATAAGATGTATTTCATTGTGTGGGGGTGCATTCCCAGACCTCACTGGGAGTACATGTGAAATACTCTTACCATCCACTGGGTTGCCTTTCTAAAATACCAAAACAGTGGATTGCTGAACTACAACTAACTCTACTGGTGTGAATAAGGATCATGTACTTGAAATTTTGGTTCTGCAAATATTAGTTCCTCCTCACACCCTAGCCTAGCCCTCAGGAGCAGTCCAAGAAAGAGCTCACGGAAGCTGGTGTTCTTTACCCCAGACACAGCAGGAAGGTTACTTACCTTAGGCAAAGGACCAAGTTGGAGGCTGCACATATACTTACGCAGCATCAGGCCCACCAAAGCCTACACTTTTGAAGCTACAGTACAGAAAGGAAACGGGCTACCAACAACCTTGGAAAGGTCTCCAGTTAATCGGGAATACCCCCAGCGAGTCATGCCAGCAGCCCGAGTTTCTAAAATACCCAGACACTTGCAACGTGCCAAACAGAAAGTTAAAAGGCAACACTGGGGCTCACAATGAATAAAGTCTTACTTTTTTACGTCGGTAGCCAAGAGGGTCAAACACATAACTGTTTAGCTGGTTCTGTACTTCCCTTCAGCAGATATTCAAGAAGCCACTCTAAGGATTAAGCCTCCAGTTCCAACCCACTCCATTCTCCAGTTAGCCTCCACCACTTACAGAGATAGCTAGCTAGTCTAGGCTTGAGTCTACATGAACTTACCAACAGTTACTTTCACAGGGCTAAAACATTCTAGTTGACATTCTGGCCTTTCTCACCTTGCCTGTCTATGCCTATCACCATGATAGAGAACTTTTTTGCCAAGCAATCTTTGAATCCAATACAGTGAATAAACTAGCAAGAAAAGAAAGAAAGAAACCCACCTCAATAATCAAAACATTCATTTCTAGGTAACCCACAGCCTCTTTCTGAAATTGAACCTCTGCTTAGTCAGGCTAAGGTCACAACTATAATGATTCCTAGTTGATCATGCATTGTAAAAATGTTTGAACTCATCAGCCCATGGATTCCCAGCTTTGCTTTGCCTTTCTTTGCTTCCTTTATTGGGTGGCTTTGCCACCTCCAACTTTTGATCGCCTATGTTTTACCTTGGTAGAAGGAAAACTAAAGCATCTCCTGAGCTGCAAACAGTAGAAGAGGACATCTAGAAGTACAAACAAAGAAGATGAGAGATGAGAATAGATGCCACCATATCCCAGCACCCATTTGGTCCTTTCTATCTACGTTCCAAGCTGCCCAGCACAGCCCCTGAAGCAACGAGCTAAAACAGGGAGCAAGCAGAATGGTGCTACAGAGAACTGACACATCCCATCGGCGGTGGGGGCCATGTTATTTAACCTCATTTCACAGATGAAGAAACTGAGAGAGAAAAGTTCTCACAAGCATTTCCGATGAAACCCCAATTCAATGTACCTGACACCTCACACTCATAAACCAGGCCACAAAGGCTTCTCATCCCACTGGAGCTCTGCCCATTCACTGCAGAGCATACACACGGCTTTATGCCAGTACTACCAAACATTCATGAGATCTATTTTCTACACCATGAGACATCGCAAAACACACCCAACAGGGCAGCACGTCACACAGACCCAGCAATGCCCACACAAGTTCATTTGAGCTCAAACTCCTATCTCAGCCCCAGGTCTGGTGGGTACACGTGATTTGCAAAACTCAGTCTTTATAAGACTTGTCATATAAGGCTAGTCATTCCTGGGGAAAAAAATGTCCAGATGCTATTGAAAACCAGTCACAATTCCCTAGGGGAAAACCCATATAAGTCCAAGGTCGCCCAGTCCAGAAAATGGTACAAACTCTTTCCAGCTACCCGGTTGTGTCTTAATTCATCTCCTACCTGTGAATCATTGTGGTTCCAGGCCCCCACCTTGCCTCCCACCCTCTCAGCCATCACTTGTCCTATTCCCTATTCCTGTCCTCAGTCATACTGGCCCCAAGTTTACCAAAGACCATCCTCCTAAATGAGCTGCTCCCCCAGTTAAGCACTGAAGGGATATGGTTGAACCACATAAAATGGAAATTGAGAGTAAGAGGCACAAGAGATTGGCGTGGAGCCTAGCACACCCGCGTCAAGGTCGTAGGCCTCTGGCTCCGGTTTTCCTGGTCGCACTTCTGATGAAGACACCCAGATACCTAGGGATTCCCAAGGACAAGTGCTTATGAGAGTCACTTACCATAAGGAAGATCACATTCCTGGGTTGCACAAAGTCTATCTGAAGTTCGACTCACTCCTGCTCATACCTTTGTAGACTCATCACTTCTCTCTGGACCACTGTGACCATCTCTTCCATACGTACCACCACCAGGCCCAATGTTACAAGAAGGATCTATCTAAAATGCTACTCGGCTGTGCTATTTTAAATCCTCCCAAGACTGGCCAATACTTAAAGAAAAGCACAGCAGATAAAACATCTGTGTTCCAGGCTTCATCTATCATGTAAACATGCACAATGCCAACTGTACCCTGAACATATAATAGGCTGCTCAATGTGCTTCTATGGCTTCATTTCTTTGTTCACTTAAAAAATACTATTTAAATGTATAGTAGAGTGTGGCTATTTTGCCTGCATGTATGTCTGTGCATCACATGGATGCAGCACTCAAGGAGGCCAGAGGTTGGCATCAGATCCCTGGAATCTGGAGTTACAGACAGGTTGTGAGCCATCATGTGGGTGCTGGGACTTGAACCTGGTCTTCTGCAAGAGCAGCCAGTGCTCTTAACCACAGAGCCAGCCCCATCTACAGCTTAATCCCTAACAGCCTCACCTTACTCAGTGAACATGCAATAATTTACCAAGTTCCTTTACCATTTCCTTAGTCCAGTTATAGAAGACTTTCTGGGTCCAAGGAAACACAAATAGTTACCCCTACCTATCCATGAGGAATTAGTTCCAAGACCCCTCTAGATCCCCACATCTGTGTATGTTCAAATCTATTATGGAAAATGCCATAGCATTTACATTTCAGCTATTTTTGTTTTCCTATATATTTTAATGATCTCTAAATTACTTATAATGCCTAATACAACATAAGTGCTATGTAAATATGTGTTAAACTATATCATTAGAGGGCTAATGTTAAGAAAAAGAACTGTGCCACAAATATTAAATACAAATGGAATTTTTAAAAAATAGTTTTGTCCTGCAGTTTGTTGATTCTTAGATATGGAACCAAAATATATGGAAAGCCTTAAGGCTTTTGATTTCATAATGATAAGCTGTGCTCTAAAAAAGTTATTTGGATTGATATTTCCTCTAGGCATATATAAGAATGTGTTTTCTTCTGTTGCATCCTAGTTAAATGGCAACTATCATTTTGAAAAGCTCTAAGAAACTTAAGTGGGTTGTTGTTGTTAATTTGCATGTTCCAGACAACCAAA